GGGCAGACTCTTGAGCCGTCAATCATAAATAACCGCCTTCCACAGTTACTCACACAAGTCTAACACAGAATGTGGAATGTAAGGTCAGCTGAGATAACTTTTAATAAATAGAAGTATTCTTTTCATACACGACATTTGATCCCAGTCGGCTACAGTGGCAGCTATGGACAAGGAACGTATTCGACGGACAGAAACAGTTGACACGCTGTTTATATTTATGTGTGAGTATAATATTATGAAATAATGTCATTCTTTTAAATTCATGATATCTCTCCTCCTCTCTAATACTCTCTTTTTCTCTGCAGGCCCCCCTTCTCTCTCCCTCTCTCTCTCTCTCTCTCTCTCTCTCTCTCTCTCTCTCTCTCTCTCTCTCTCTCTCGTTTATCTTGATAGCTGTGTCTTCATTTGTGTTTGTGTGTGTGTCAGTATGTATGCGAATATTTTCCATGTGCCCAACTCAGCTTCTACAGACTTCATCATAAGTTAAGGACCTCCTCGACAGACAGCCCTAATTTTTTTTTAATCGAGGGAACGGACAGCAAGGAATGTTTTAAATTTGTTTGCTCTGAAAATGTTAATGAGTTAACAATGTGTACTGCAAAGTTTCCTAAAGGGGCAAATCGACCACGTGCAGCACGGAAATCCTCGGGGAATTTTAGCCAAATTTGCTGTCTTTTATCGAATCGTGTGCAAAACCACGGACATTCCTCAGTTAAAATTTTAGGTGCACGCGATAAACGGACGTATGGTCTCAAACTGTGCTCACTTTGGAGGCAATATGAGCCGCCGTTTTCCCAAAATCAAGTATTGCATCGATGTAGCCAACAAGACGAAAGCTGAGAGACTTTGACCGTGCTAGGGATAGCATGGCTGCAGGATGGAGTTTGGTCCTGAGAAGTTGCCAGAAGGCTTGCAGTGTCACACTCTGTCATTGTCCGTTTGAAGCAGCGCCATCAAGCCACTGGACCAATCCAAGAACGCCTTCATGCAGTTCGACCCAAGAAGACCACTCAGAGAGAGAACCGATATGACCGCATGCAGCCCCTCGACAAGGGACAACGACAGCCAACAGAATCAGGCATCATATGCATGCTACTACCAACACGGCGGTGAACTCCCAGACCATTCGGCGTCGTCTGCATGCTGCCAACATCCGTGCCAGGCGTCCAATCAAGAAACCAAGGCTGACCGCAGGACACCAGGCAAGTCGTCTTGCGGGCCCATGAACAATGGACAAGTGCTCAATGGGGCCATGTGTTGTTCACAGATGAGTCACGATTCAGGGTCAACCTAAAAGATGGACGGGTGCATGTGTGGTGGCTTCACATTGGGCAAGCAGAGATCACAAAAATGCCATGGCCAGTCTACATTCCCGACTTCAACCCCATTGAGAATGTGTGGGGTGAACTTGGCCAGAGAGTCCAGCAGCATCAGCCATCTCCAGCTAACCGACAAGAGCTGCTACAGATCCTGCAGCAGGAGTGGTCAAACCATCCTCAGACCTTCATTGCCACACCATCAACACCATGAGGCGACGCTGCCTTGATTGCATTGCTCGGCATGGTGGGTGCACCCGTTTTTGAACTGACTGTCATGGGCACTAGTTGCTAGATTTTTCTTTTGAGGGGTACTGATGTTCCCAGCGACATATTGCCTAAGTTCGTGACGTCATCATTCAAAAATTGATTTGATTTTGATAAGAAATGATTCCATTAACTATCTATGAAATATCAAATGTTTTGCTTTTCACCCATTTGTGTTGCGAGAGTGTTTGCACGTGGTCCATAACTTATGTTAAAGTCTGTATGGTCCAACATTCGTGGCGAAACTTATCCTCTAATATCTCTTAAACGGGTTATTCAATGTCACGCATACTTTGAACTGCAGTTTGTATTAATTTGTCTTAACTTAATCATAGTTTTCCACAATAATTGAGGCTAGATTAAAAACTCATTTTCATAAATGTATATAAAATACTATAATTCTCTGTCACGCGGAAAAGGGATTGTTCACAGTACTTCACGCTTCTCACACTCATTTTGCATATGCATGTGGCCTACGTCACATCTCACTCACCAATGACACTTTTTAGCAGTAAAACTTGTTGCACGAAATAAATTTTATAGTGGATACATTTTTTTCATTAAAAGTTCTCAAAACATGCGTTCAATAAGCATAATGTTGGGATTAGGGGGAAATTACGAACTTGCTTTTAAAAGCGTGTTGCCAAAGCTGTAGATCTTTCGAAATCTATGAAACCATCCACTTGGATTATTTGTTAGTAATTATAAAGGAATTTTCTAGAATATAGCTAACTGGTATTTACAAAAATATTGATCTGTTAAGACAAATTGATACAAGTCATTGTGCAAAAGTTATAGAACCTATGCTCGATAGTTTTGAAAATAATTGACGATAAGTTGCACCACGAATTTTTTACCGCACTATGGAGGCGACAGAGAATTGTGAGGCGCGCGGTATAATCAGGTGCTTGTCAAAATAATGAAATCAGATCAATCGGCTTTTTTCTGACTGTTGGGCTATTTTTTTTTTCTTCTGCACAACACCTTTTTTGTTCCTTCCAAAAGATATTTCTTTTCTATTTGGATTTGACTTTAAAATGTTAATCAAAGGCATAAAAATTGTAACTTGGCAGTTTTCAAGGACACTCGAGCTTTAGAAGTCACCAAAATTTGACGGCCATGACATGGGAAGCGAATACTGCAATTAGGTATCAAATTGATGAACAAGGAATAAGAAAAAAAAACTTTGCTTTATAGTCGGACGCAAACCATTTTTAAAAATCTATTAAAGACAAATCCAATCAAGATCAGTGTCATAATTTGGAATGAATTAGAGCATTCTTTAGATCTGTATATATTTATATATATATATATATATATATATATATATATATATATATATATATATATATATATATATGCATATATATATATATATATATATATATATATATATATATAAATTATATATATTGTATATGGGAAACTGCTCCTTTTTTCTTTTTCCATCCTTACTATCGTAATTTTTCCTCTGCTTCTTTTGTCTGTTTGTCACTCTCTTGTGAACTGCTATTTCCGGGGTGCCTTAATAGTCGAAGCAGACTGTGCTGTTGAGGCTAGAGAGGTGAGCAGAGTAAGCCTGATTATCCGTTTGGGCTTCTCTGTTGACATCAACCCCTTGGCGCTCTTCTGATCTTATGCTGTTGCGAGCGCCGTAAAACCTTACTAAAAGAATGTTTCCCAAAAAGTCACTTTGTTTTTGTGTTGTTGTTTTTTTTTAATAGACGGTCTAATGTTTTAAAAATAGTTTGTTTTTTTTTTTAGACTCAACAGTTTGGAATCTCCTCAACACGGATGAACGTCTGTGGTTTGATAGGTGGGCACATCCTCTTGTACGAGGGGGTGGGTGGGGGGGCGTGCATTTGATTGCTGCATAGTGAAGATTATTAGATTATTTTTCAGTTAAGGTTTTCTTCTTTGTCTACAGCTGAATTGATGTATCTCATTCGGCGCTCGAGTGAACCTGATTCCAAACTAATGTAAATAATGTCGATTGGGGGGGCATCAAACAATAATACTCTTTTGCAAATCAACTTGCATTCTCTAGTCGAGATATTGGATGTTGTTTTCCGCACTATAAATAATAGTAAAACGCGCACAGAACAGCTTTCGCCCACCCTAACTGACGCTGAAGCTGACTGTGTCATAACAATGTGGACTCGGGCGCTCGTCATTTTTTTAAATTTCTTTTTTAGAGGAAGGGGCGTATGGAGTTATTGGTATTACCACAAGTTTACATTTCTGGTGCCCTAGATCAACATTTGCCTGTAAAGACTACCCAGAAATGTGTTTTAAATGGACATAAAGGTGTAAGGCCAATAAACAAAATTCGTTAAAATCTGCCTGGCGGGCGGAAACTGTGTCGGTCTCTTCAATTACATAATTTTGACTAGGGCCTGATTTCATCACGACGCCACACAATTGTAACCCACCAATAATGTCTCAACAGCTATTCTTCGGGAGATTCAATAATCAAGAGGACCTCCTTTGAAGACTTCAACGTGACAATCCAAGTATCGTTGAGGACAGGTGTAATCTGGCTGAAAGTGAAAGGTATAGGTAACATTGCATGACCTTTGCAGTAAACACCGCGATCCTCTTTTACCCAGTGCATACTTCCATTCGAATTCATTTGATTGAGTTAGGACCAGCCAGATTGCCCTTCACGGATTTGGGGTGAGGGTGGGCGGTGAGGGGGGGGGCTACAATTTTATCCCACTACGACCGAATTCAACTCATTTCAAGCGTGAGTTTAAAATGAGACGAGTTTGCTTTTCAAGGTTGCCAGTCGAATCGGGAGTATTGTTCCAAAATGGTAGCTTTTACTCCTCCATCCAGAAAAATTTGGTTGGCCCCCAACTGAATTTATCCGATTAGCAGAGTGCTCTGGGTAATACGATTGATAAAGAAAATAAAGGCATGTTCCACTTATAATCCCAGAGAAACGAAGACATCGGATATCAAGTATGCGTCTAATCGATCAACAACAAAAATACATCGAGAGACAACAAATAAAGTGGTTGGCCACGTAATGAGAATGGGGTCGCAACAACCAGCCTCCAATTACTACCACATATGATATAATGGCTCCAGGCAAAGGGAAAGCCGAAAAAGATGGATCGACTGAGTAAAAGAGGCCCTAAAAAAGAACAATATGGTAATTCAAACTGCGACACACCTGGACCGCGTCTGACAGCTGCAGCATCTCCCCTCGACGTCTTGCGGTATAAGAGGTGGCCACAAAAAGTAAAGTAGAGGAAGTAATGGAGGAGTAGTGGCGCCGGTAGCCTAGTGGTTAGGCTCTCGGACTCGCAACCCTAAGGTCGATGGTTCGAATCCTGTCAGGGACCCGACGTTGTGTCCTTGGGAAAGGCACTTTACACGAGTTTTCCTCACTTCACCCAGGTGGGAATGGGTACCCAGCTATAGACAGTGAAAGATCTTGTCAGTTTGAGTGTTTGAGCGCTTAATCAGCTGCTTGAACTGTATGCTTCCCGGGAAGCTGAGAATGTTTATGAGTGTTCTATGGTCTGCTGGGGTAATAATATAGTGTAAAGCGCATAGAGCTTGCTGTCGAGCGGGGTTATGCGCTATACAAATGCTATTTATTATTATTATTATTATTATTATTATTAAAACAATGCCGTGCTAAGGAAATATCTCGTCTAAACATTATGTCTCACTTACTTTGCTCATAGGAGCCAGGACGCCAGAGCTACTATTATTTATAGATCGTTCCTCGTCTTTTGGGGAAAAGAAACTTCTACTACGAACTAGTCCGAGATGACTACCCTTTAACGAGGAGAAAAGTGGTCTTCTTAGGGGAGTGGTTTTCTTGGACAGTGGCATTATACATCTATAGAAAAAAAAAACGCTACAACTGAGGGGGGGGGGGGTAATAGTTTGTACATAATGTGATTGTCTTAGACAGGTAGTACTGTTAGGGCAGGTTCGACTTACATTCCCAAAATATGAATTAATTGAAAGGCGTAAATTCTAAGCTTCAAATTTACATGTTCCTAAGGTAGTGTCAGTCGAATTCATATCCATCTAGAAACAACAGTAAGTGATATGTAATTAATTATTATACCTCTGTTTTTGGGTTGATGTTGTTGTTTTTTTTCAGTTACTGGTAATGTTACCATTGATTGCTCTCACGGATCCCCGTCTACCAGTACCACAAAAGGTAAATCTTCGTGACCAGGTAGGGAAATGTAGATATTTTACTTGTGTAATTTTTTAAACTTGAATGCCTAACGAATAGACATACTATTACATAGTTCTACACTTATTATCTATGCGCTTCAATTAGATAATATTATAGTTTGCCCAAGACAAACAAGTGCAAGTTCTTTACTGGGAGAAAATTATGTTATATCCAGCTGATACATAGCTTTGCAGATACCTAAGTTACTGGCTAGAGAGCAGAAATCAAAACCTATGAGTATTCGTTAGATGTTCTTGTTTATGGTATGCATACAGTGAAGCTTATTTGATTCTGAGTATTTTTTTTTGGGGGGGGGGGGTTAATGCATAATTCAAATGTCCCTTAAATTACTTTAAGGTATTAAGGTTACTTAAGAGGCAACCGTTATAGCTTGTTCCCTTTCGTCCGTCCGCGTCAAAAACTTTCTAGCCCATTTACTAATTTGCCTTTACCCCGAAACTTTGGATGCTTCTTCTGCAGGCCAGCTACCAAACAACAAGATTTTGTCTTCAAAAAGTCTTGATCAAGCAAGAAGAAAGTTATTTTTTTCTAATAGGGCCCTATATTAAAAATGGCTCTTTGGATACATACACAGGGTCACTAAAATAAATGATTTACTGTAATCTAGCCTACAAATTGCCCAATTTGAGACAGAAATACCTCACTGCCACATCTTAGTGTAAGCTTGTAAATGTAATGAAAATATGTCACTTTTTAATGTGTTAGGTATATCCTGCATATTCCCAACTATCTTTTGACCAGCTTAAACGTGCGTGGGGACCAAAAGCGTGAGCCGAGCCGTAGCTATGCCGCGAAAATATGGTCTCTTTATTGCTTTAGAGTGTGCACACCAAAAGCTGTGGGTTTGCCTCAAATCGAGGTTCGACAAAGATCTTCCCGCCGAAGTCAGATCTAAAAAGAGGCGCAACGGGTCGCGCGAATCCTTCTTTCCACTTCCACGCACTGAAATTCACCCAACATAGAATAATAGATACCTTTTCTTGTTATACCGCTGTGTTTATGATGCTGCTTTCGTCAGAACATATTGTTAATTTGTTGGTGCTGTTGTTTCTTTTCTGATAATGATGGCGACGATGATGATGACGACGACGACGACGATGAAGACAATGATAAGTCAACGAGCTCTATAGACAGTGTTGGACTTAAGGAGTATTGCTTTATAGCCGGCGTTTTGATTTCGTAAATTCCCCGAAAACAGGGTAATTCCTGCGAGAATTGTTTGGGGTTTGTTGTTGTTTTTTTTTTTGTTGTTTTTTTTTGGGGGGGTTAAGTTTTGGGGTTTTATGGCTCCATCAACACAAATTTGTGTCTTTTAGGCGTCACGGTAGGAGAAAAGGACAAAAAAACAAGAAAAGGGTAGCTGGACAGAAGAAAAAAAGTGAGGAAAGGACATATAAACGCCAAGTATACAGCCTATGATGACAGGTATGTTGTTTACATCGTACACGCAAGACGGAATGCAGTTTATTATCTTACCCAAGACTGCCCCTGTAGTTCTAACCCAGTTATGAACATACTAGTGTTATGATTGTGGCTATTTACATCAAAATGACACTGGGCGTGGGATCTTTTTCTGTTGGCCCGATGGGTACGTATAATACAAAGTATGTGTCCGATACACTTATGGTTCCAACAAATGTAACAACACACAAGCATGCCGTTCATCTGGAGTGCTGGCCATTTTTATTAACACTAAACTGATGTGGTCCTACACATAAAAAATTGAAGCACCCACTGCCCAACTAGCTGCAAGCTACTAGCTCGCACATGGCTCGGTATGTGTTTGAGCATGTGGCTTTTGGTGTGAACAGACCAGCATTCATCCAGCCGCGGGCGAGCTAACAGCTAGCGGTCAGTAACTGTTAGCTGCCGTGGCTTTTGGTGTGTTTATAACCCACCATGCCGCGGCGAGGCTATTGCTAGGGTCGCGGCTTTTAGTCTGCACGCACCCGTAAGCCAACAATCAAAGAAAATGTGTCAGAACCATAGTGTGCAGTGCCCTTTATGTCTCAGCTTTTAGATTCTGTTGGTCATTCAACATTTAGACCTGCATGCAAAGATCTGAGAAGATTAAACCGATCAATTTGGTTTTATCTTGTTTTAACTGCGGTCAGACGAAAGTGAGCAAGCTATAGACTACCGATTCTTGAGTTATTTTGACGGGTTCCGTGCACATTTGTATACTATGGTAATAAATAGGTAAGTTTTTACTTTTTTTTCAAGTACCAAATTTTAATATTAAATTTCGGGATTAAGTCTCATTGAAAATGTCGTTAGTGTGTAAGTTTCAGGATATACTAGTGACACATAACGTGTTTCTGTGATGGTAAAAGTAAAACCTATCAGGTAACCTACTTTTCTTTTTGTTATTGTTGTTCTGTTGTTGATGTTGTTTTTGCTGTGGCTGTTGTTGTTGTTGTTGCTGTTGTTGTTCCATTAGCCTTTGCACATGTCTGTAGTGCTCCGACAAAACACATTTTTTCAATTTTTATTATTTTTTCACAAATCGATAGTAAAGATTGATTCCCATCATGTGACAAAATATTACAATGAAAACATGTCTAGTTTTTTAATAAATTTAAATTTTTTGATTTTGTAAAAACACGTTTATTTGGAATGTACTCAGACAGAACACATTTTTCTTGCAAATTCGCAACCAAAAATCTTAAAGGTGCCCCGACAAAACACGTTTTTTCCCTTGGGGCCACCAAAGATGCATATTTTTACGCTAATTCTTGATCATGCTTAATGTGCCCTTAGGCCCAATACCATGTTAATAGGAGAGGTGATCTTCAGAAATAGCTCTTTGCTGCAGTATAGGGCATTGTTCGTTGTAGGGGCAGGGGGAAGAATGTGCCTTCATAGACATTGTAGTTCAGGACATTCTAAGAGCGGATGTTAGACTGTTTGGAAGACATGGTCACAAAAGAAGCACATTGTTGATTTTCCTGGGTTGATTCTGTTCTTGGGACCAGCGCTTGCCAACCGTTTTGTTTTGTTTTTTTGTGTGTGTTTTTGCATAGCCAGCCCCCACTTTTCTGACTTTTATATTTCGCACAAATGAATGTAAAAATTCATGCGAGAAAGCAAGTACGGGAACCCAAACTGGTCATAATAGAGTTGCTCTTTTGACAACTTACAAGATGTTTCTAAATCATTTCCTCCATGATTTCGAAAGCCGATTTTTAAAGATATTTTAATACACCCAATTTTATCGTTCAAACGATATAATTTTTATCTTGATAGCATTTTTCTAGGGTCTACCACTATCTTTTTTCCACTATTAAGAGGCCAAAAACAATGTTCGTATCGCCCACCCCCATGCAATTCCAAGCAGGGCATAGTATGATATAAATAACACATGTCACTACCTGGGTGATCCCCACCGTCCACCAAAACTGTGAAATTATAATATTATTGCCCACAAGTGGGTGATACCGCTCTGGTTGACAAGCGCACTAGTTAAGAGGTAAATGACAATGTATGAACTGCGTTCGGTGCCGGAATATCGTTCTGCTGTGGGCTGCTTTTATGCTGTCAGTTCGGTTCACATTACTAAAAAACAAAAACAAATAAAAACTTTTAAAAACCACGGAAGGCTGCTTGCAAAAAAAAAAACCTGTATGTTTTTTTTGTGTTTTGTTTCTTAGAAGAAAAGGTAGAAACCGTCACAGGGACGAAAGGCATAACTACAACAGAAATAGACTCTCCAAACAGCCGTCTTGCTGTGAAACACACTGCAAAGAAAGGTAAATTATTAAGTTTCCTATTTTTTTGTTTCTCTGCATAAAATCACAACCTTAGATACATACTAACAAATTAATATATCATTACAAATTCAAAGCATTCGATTCCCTAATGGGGGTAAAGAAAAAAGAGAGAAAGCAGCTAGCAGATGTGGCATAGTGTTGAAAACAAGCGCTCGTCAAAATAATGAAATCGAAGGAAACAGCATTTTTCCGCCCGTCGGGCAATTTCTATAGATTTTTTTTTCTTTTTTAAATATTTTCCTTAAATTGTTTTTGCTTTTGTTGGGTTTTTTCCCAGTGCCTTTAATATGCATTTTAAAATACAATTCTGAAAGATTTTTACTGAAAAAAAAAATTGATCAAATGAATGCAAAAGTACATTTGTAGTTTCAGAAGTCATCAAACGTTGGCTGCAAATTTCTCGCTTACTTTACCTCTGACTCTAGCGACCCCCACCTACTTCAAAGGTAAATTAATATTTCCGTTTTTATTCAAGATAGCTAGATATGTTTTGCATCAAAAGCAAAGCAGAGGAACAGGCTTTAATATGATATTCATTACTGCCCTAGAATATCAAAGTCCTATCAGCTCACTACCTAGTTTTGAAAAAATTGAAGTATAACATTTTGAGTTTCACAACATGACAAGCTGTTTCGAATGCAATTCTTTGAATATCTTGATGACGACTCCGAATAATCATACGATTTTGATAGAGTAGATAGAACATTTAGTTTCTGGCCTCATGGTCCTAGTAATTCAAAAGAGTCAAAAAAAGACAGATAGAACGTTGTAATTCTAAGATATCGCAAAAACTCCATATTTTTTATTATGCCTAAGACTCTGGCCACACTTACATCAGACCGCCAGTCACCTCTTTGTCTTTGTATTAATGTCCACTGCTCTGCTCTGCCCGCTCTGCCCGCTCTGCCCGCTCTGCCCGCTCTGCTTGCAGTGTGGCCAGTGCCTTAAAGATTGACGAGCGCCTGATCTGATACCACCGCCTCGGAACACAAATCACACAGTTATGTTCTTTTGAGCTCTGCAGTTCATGTGTGATTGTGTTTATTTTTTTCAATGAATATTATATTATACAGGTATTGGCCAAACGTCGACCAGGAAGGCTTCAACGACCACGGAATCCACCAGGGACTCAGACAATGGTACTGTAAAGTGCCAATGATATCTTCAGACACTTTTCTGAGCGTTTTACAACTCAAGCTCTTTATTCCTATATAGTATAACGCTACCTCAGAAGTACAAAATTATGTCTGCTAAGTGGTTAGTTTTGAAAATGTTGACGTTAAAAAGGTTGAGTTTCCCAACATGTCAAGCCTTTTCGAATGCAATTCTTCGAATATCTGGGTAACGATTCCAAATAGTCTTTCAATTTTGTTAAAGCGGGTAGAACATTTCGTTTCTGACCTCATGATCTTCGTACTTAAAACAGCCAAATATGACATTACAGAACTTTGTAATTCTAAGGTAGCGATAATCACTAGACTACGTGGTAGAACCGTGCGGGGGTTATTCAACATTTTCAACTTTGGAAAAATTACCACTTAAAAGCACTATGGCAGACTGAATTGTCTCGTATGGGGGGTAGATAAACACTCAAAGAAGTACTTTTTACCAGCAGTCAAAGCTAATTGATCCAATTTTTTTAGACCCAGACAGCTTTGTACTCAGATTTTTAAGTGACTTTGTTGGGTTTACAGCATAGATTTGTATTACAATATCCTACCTTGATCAAGCACCATCTTGACCGCCCCCCTCCGTTCTTTACGAAAACTTTGCGACTTCTTGGGCTACCAAATACAAGTCTCGACATGTTATAGTCAAAGGCCGGCGCAAGCCTCCCCCCCCCCCTCCTTTCGTTTATTGGCAATGTGAGTCGATTGTTGAGCTCCATAGTAAACCAAAATTATTTTACCAGAGTGCACTGCTTAAATTAATGTTGTCTAGTATATTGTTATGAAATATGCCTTCGCTTTAAAAACAAAATTGTGTTCTAGACCCCTATAGCGTGTGTAATGTTATTAAATTATGCTAATGCTGGTATGTTTTGATGTTCCAGAAAAAAATAACTATTGCCAAATGTTATGTTTCCGTAACAATGACCAACTTTTTGTATACTACTTTGTGTGTGTTCATGTGTGTTAGTGTGTGTGTGTGTGTGTGTGTGTGTGTGTGTGTGTGTGTGTGTG